AAATGCATAAGGCTGAAGTGTTTTTAACCCAGAAATCCTATTTGGTAGAAGAATGTAAACAAGCTACCGACATGGATTAACTAATTCTCATTTTTCTCAGCTGCACATTCTGTAGCTGGAGTGAAGCTTGTGGGCAAAGTACTTACTTCTTAGCATCGGTGGCAGCTGACGCTTTCTTAAAATCACCATTCATACCTTTCCGTTAGTTTTCTTTTGCAAAGCAAGCAAACAACATAAACTTTCCCGTACTATTGTGTCAGGAGGAGATGATGGGAAACAATTGGTTATTTTGCACTCTCAAGCCCCATATACAGTGGTTGTCTTACGGTTTTGTATCAGCTGCTACAGAAAGAGCTGTGTGTGAGCTCTCCTTTCTTATTCCAAGCAGCAGCTGAATTGTGGATAAACTAGAAGGTGCTAGAAGATACTTGAAGGAATCAGGCTAGTTGTTCTGGATTTTTCCTTTGTTTTAGCGGAACATTGGTTCCATGTGTTAATGGTTAACTCTGTGAGTTTACAGCTTTATTATGGGATCAACATACAATAACATACTGGGAAAGATACATGTTTGGCTGTGAAGCATTTGCTCTTCATGACTAGTTCTTTAAGTCTTGACATGAAACTTTTCACACGTTAAAGGCAAGTCTAGTTCTTTACTGGAAAACAGTGAATGGTGCTCTCTCTTTTAGCCCATTTGAGCAGGAGAAATAATAAGAGAGTAGTATTCAACCACAATAATACTTCTTAATCAAGCTGCTTTTCAGGCAGTTCTTTGTTTAAAAATAGTCTTTTTAAATTTTAGAATCTGTATGCCAAAAAAGATGCTGAAAGGGGTTTTTTTGTATTGTTTTTGAAAAAGGAGGCAACCTAAGCATAATGTTATCGGTGTCGATTTTTTGTTTTTCATATAATACATCTTATTTTCAGTACTACTGTAACTTTGCAAGTTGTATTAAAGTAGCTATTTCAATGTTTTAGATCTGTACTTCAAATGAAGACTCTTATTTTATGGATGTTCACAGGGTCTATGTTCCAATTAACTGATTTATGTTCTGTCACTGGCAAAATTATAAAGAAGAGTCTTAATGTTAGATAGTTGAAATTTCACTTAGGGTGCAATAATCAGCCTTAAAGCAGGAAGCTAAACCCAGCATTATAGTGAAGACTGCAGAGGCACTTAGAAAATGTCAGCAGTTTTGGGTGGGGTTTTTTTGCTTTCCAGTCCTTTTATCAGTAAGGCTCTTGCAATTCACATTTGAAGATCAGGAAAACAATATTAGACTTGCAGAGGGAGTTAATCTGTGTCCAAAGCATTTTAGTTAAATTAAAATAAAAACTAAAAAAATCTACTGACTTGTGCCAACTCTTGTTTGAGTCTGGGTTAGACTAATGTGTGGTCTGCTGTGCTGTGAGGGCATGTGAGCCACAGCTGCTGCATTTTTTTAGCTCCTGTGTCTCTGCTCTATGCAAACTTGAAGTCAAAGTTCTTTAATATCTCTGTGGCTCTGTTTCCCCATCTCTGAAATGAGAGTGCTGTTTCCTTAGGGATGTTCACCACACACTGCTGGCAGTGGAAGCTGTTGGTGGAACGTATCCAGTATCGTTGCCTGCTGTGCTTTTCACCTAGTTGGTTCCTCTTGATCTGCTGCCCAGGTGTTTTCAAGCATGTTTCCTTCAGACAGGACCCCTCTATGAAGGAGGCAGGGGGATGCTTCCAAAAAGAGACTGCACTTTATTGAGGCTGGGGCTGGTTGCAGAATCTCTGTGCCATTTGCAGTGCTTGAAAGCTGTGTGGCAGATTGAACTGGGTGAAACTTGCCTGTATTTATCAAAATAACAGAAAGAATAATTTAATCTAAAAACATTGGTTTAGCTCAACATGTCTATTTTATCAGGATGCAAATGGAAGTGTTTCCATTGTTGGGCTTGCAGCTTTCTGCAGAGGAACCTTTGTGAAGGAGGGTGCTGCTGAGGTACTAGCACATTTTAGTTTGTCCTTAGGTCAAGTGCTTTTGGTCAGCTCTCTAACATTGTCTGTTAGGGTGAGGATTTTTGGAAGTGTATATTTCTCTAAAGCTGGGACTTTTCAGATTCCCTCCTTAGGATCAATCATGCACCCAGGCATTGAACTTGTCTTCCGTTACAGAAATAGGTGGCTTGAAACATGTAAGAAATAGGAAATGTATTCATAATAATAATAATAATTTATTTTTCTTCAGATTCGTTGTTTATTTTTTCTTGACTACCCCAAATTCTTTTTTTCTGTCTGTTTTTTTAGGGTTTTGTTTTGGCCTCACACTAGTTTATCTGGTTTTCTGCAGTTACTATTAATAAATAATATTTATTTTATATAGTGTCAGTGAGAGCTTCCCATTATGTCTGTTGTAAGAAGTAGGGAATGAAAAGCTAAAACTTTAAGATAAACTATGTAGACAAGTTGCTTGTCACAACCTTCTGCTCCCTCAGAGTAAATTTTGTGAAGTGCATCGGCTGAGCCTGGTTGGTGTTTGCTTGGTTGTGAAAGATGCTCAACAAAAGTTTGGCACAGTGTTAGGGAGCAGAGATGAACACTACTCCTAACCATCTCAAAAAGGGATGATTATAATTGTGAGAAGGCAGTTACGGAAAATAAAGCATGCATTTATGCATTTTCTTCCATGTTGCGTCACTAACGCCAAGCAAGCTGTCATTTCTTCAGACCACTAGAGATATTTATGAAATCAGTCCACGATCCTGGAGATTTAGAGAGGCAGTATTGTTAGCTAGATGAAAGTGCCTAAATGGAAAATAAAATTAATACAATTTACAAGAAGATTGTCATAGAAAATGGATGAATTTCCTGCAGTCCCCTGTTTTTGCCTGACTGCAAGTGAGAGCTGAGCATAAAGACAAAGCAGAAAGCAAAAATATAATTTAGCCCTTTTAGACCACAATAATATTAGGAAAAAAGACTTTAAAACCTATTTTGTTTTTAAACCTGATTTGAAATAATGCAAAATAAAATGCGAGCCAAATGCAACTTGAGGTGTTGGTGGGTTTAGTGTGGTTTTATTTGATCACACAATTCTACTTTTTCAAGCCCTTTTTGTTCTGCTTTGCATGTCACTTGCTTTCAGATCTCAATAATTTTTGCCTTCCTAAGCCATTTTGTCATGCTTTTACCATTGGCTGTAGCTCTGCTGTGCCTCACTGTCACACCAAAGTGACTCCCTGTCATAAAATTGGTCTTCAGCATAGGACTTCCTTCTTATAGGTCTGAAATACACTTTACTTTTGACTCTTCTCTGTCCAGGTTGCCTGATCGTTTGTCTGGGTTGAAGGTCTGTCTTTAAAGAACTAATATTTTGTTGCTGGCAAAAGAAAGGGGAGGTGAAGGAAGGGTCAGGGTGTGGATCAGTGTTAAATAAATTGTGAAGGTCACAAAGAATTTTAATCTGGCTTGAAAAAGAGACTTGTATCCAGCAGCACATTTTTGTTTGTGATAGTCTGAATAGACAATTGTGGCTACTTTGAGAATTTGGTGTAGACTGCATGACTGGTATAAATTGAATTAGTCTCATGACAAGGACATAGTCCCCTTTTTTTTTCTATCTGCCTGATGGAAAGCAGAAGAAAGCCCTGCGTGACATATCTTGACCTGCAATGTCAATGTGCGCTTTTGTGACAGGCTCTGATTTCTGGCCTCTCATTTGATAAAGCCAATTTGGTGGAAACTAGAAAGAAGGCTTGCTGCAACACAAAATGTACTTACAGAAAGAGTGTCTGGTGGTGAGTACAGATGACTGCCATTCAGTCTCAATAATCATTAGAAAGCCAGAGTTTCTTTCTGAAAATGGGGCAAAGTCTTGGGCTTGTATGGCATAGGGATGCAGTCACACCAAATTATGCACTGTTTAATATCCTGCACCATGGTTTCATGTACCTTTCTTTGTCCTTTTCTCTCAGCCATCCCTGTGCCTTCCATTTCCTCTATTTGCTTATTTATTCAATTTTTCTTTCCCATTCTTCTGCCTTCCTTTCATCTTCCTATGTTTCTCTCTTCCTCCCACTTTGTACCCTGAACCGGAGTGAAATCACTCCCTCTATTCCATGCTGACAGGGCACCAGCAAAGAAGTAATTGTGAATGCTGCTTTTCCTTAGTCTGAAAACATCCCAGCTTTCTGATTTTGTGTCCATTTCCCATTCCTGATGCCCTCCTTCCTGCCTCCACTGGCATTGGTAGAGGGGTTGTAAACTTGGAAAATTCCAGTGGAAATATTTATAGTGCATCAAAGGAAAAAGGAACCGAACGCAGGTTATGTAACAGAAAACTGTAACCTGCAGTGTTCGTTGCTCTACCCGCACTCACAAGGCAGATGTAATGATTTAAATTGAAATATTTGTTACGTTTTAAGTACTAGAAAAACATTTTGAATTGCTGTTGTGTTGGGTTTTTTTAAACAAGGTTAAAAATTCTGTCGTTCCCAGTGATACACAATGCAGTGGGTTTTTTTAATGCAGTGGCTCAAGATCTTTAGACTATAAATTTGCAAAACTCACAAAAATTGATTGTCATTTTTTCCCTAAATATTAATTTCAAATAAGGGGCTGTAATCTGAGCAGGGGTAGCCAAGTATTTTTGCAGTCTGTAAACAAACAGAAGCATGATGAGAAAATTACATTTACACTACAGGGCTGCAATTTGAAGGCATAAGATTTGGCTGCAGGTACTCTGACAGCGAATCATTGGCATTGGGCCACATGGTCATGACCACATTTGAGCAATGTTTTCTGGAAGTTCTGTCATTTGTATCATGAATTCTGGTGGGTTTTGTTGGAGAGTCATTTCAGCTCATGCCACAGATCTCTAGAGGAGATAAAGCAAATTGAAAACATCGTGTGGTGTAACAAATCCAGAAACATCTACTTGTATATGTATATATTCCATTATCTCATGTAGAATTGAGAAATATGTTCTTTTTTTAATGCAATGTATTTTTTTTTCTCTTCCCTTATTTAGAGACCTGAGTGAAAACCAGATAAAAGGAATCCCTAGAAAGGCCTTTCGAGGAATCATTGATGTGAAGAACTTGTAAGTGACAACTTCATTAATATTTGTTGTGAAAAACATTCTGCCTAGGTTACATCTGGCTGTTACTATTTGTTTGAGTATCGTGTGGTTAGTTAACTCTGTGCAACACAAAAGGGAGCTGTGGACACTGCTCTGTGCAGCAGGTTATCGTCAAGGACCTCACGTGCTACTTTGGTCCACATGTACACTCTGCAACATACCCGGGGAAGTTTTGAGCAAATTAAAAAAAATATACTTAAAGACTTTACCCCTCCCTGCAGCATTGTCCTGCAAAATCCAGTTCAATCACAGTCCAAGCCTTGAAGCAAGATATGCATAGGAAAAGAAGGGGTAGAGTTTGGGGGTGAAATTGAAATATTTCACTTTGATTAAATTTTCTGTCCCACCACTTGGGTGGGAAGTAAATATGGCAAAATGTGGCACACAGGCACAGTAGTTGAGCACAAATATCAGAAAATGAAAAAATAATGTGGGAAAATAACTGTGCATGCTTTGACAGTTTGTATTGAAAATTAAAATAATTTTTTAAAGCTATTAAAGATAGAAAGGTGAGTTTTGCTGTTTGTGTTAATGAAGCTAGTCTGTCCTAGCCATTTCCTATAACATATAGTCTGAAATAATGTGTAAATAAAGACTTTCAGTTCTATATTTCCAGAGCTGCTAGAGGGTCCTACATGTACCAGAAGTGCATTTTTGTGCACACTCACACACTAACACACCATTGGCATCATTAGTCAACACAAGGTGAATTCAAAAAGGAAATAATGGCCCACAAGTTGGCAGAGTCAGGATTTCCTGAGAAAACTTGCAGCCACCCTCAGAACCATTTCAGAGCCATTAGTATTAGCACTGTGTTACCCCGCCAGTAGCTGAAATCTGATAGCCCACGGTGTAAACATAGCGTAAATAGTGTGGATTTTTTGTTGTTGTTTAGCTGGTAGAAGAATCAGCTAAAGGAGATCTAAAAAGATGAACTGTTCTACAGTCTTGCAATATACTTGTGCTCTGTTTTCATTTCTTGCCCCAATGAATGACCTCTTTAAGCATCGAGACAAAAGTTTTTTCTATAGGCAGCCTGGAAACTGTTAAGGGCAGTCAACATGAGTCAGAGCATGACCACATCTGCAACCAAAGGCAAAGCACAGTTCTTCTACTTCCGCTGGTGATGCTGTTGCAAGGAATATCACATCACTGCGGTTTGGGCAAGGGAGACAGTACTGCAAAAGACCAAAGCAGGACTTCCCCCAAGCTGGAAAACATAGGCACAGGAGCAACGCTGTGAGGTGCCCCCTGCGCTCTCTGAACACTGTGTAAGGTGCCTTTGGAGACTTTGGGATAGACACAACATAAAGACTTTTACACATCATATAAAGTTTACAGCTGTTTCTGCAGGCATTCAGCATACTAACCTTGTGTTTCTTCAGTGGTTTGTTACTTACTTTGTGTATATTCAACAGTGACTTTAGCTTTTCAGGTATGAGGGCTTTTTTACCTGAATGTCAGCCTGAGGAAACACATTCTGAGGAGCCAAACTCATCTAAGCCTGTACTCTCATGTTGCTCTTCAGTGCAAGAGCATCAGAGGACCTGTGTGAGCAGGTCTAGTTTTTAAGACACAGGAAAATACTGGAATATAGTTTATAGTGGGAAGAAATTTGTGGATTTTAGTCAGAAGCATGGCTTTTTTTGTCATGTTAGCATGAACTTTACTTACACTGTCTAATCTTGAGGAACAATAGATAGTGTTTTGTTTCTGAAAATCTAACTTTCCCATCTATAATTCACTGTTAATTGTCTAACTTCATTTAAAATAGCAAAGGTTGCATTCAGAGTTGATTTCACCTCTGGCGAGCTGTCAGAAAAATCACAAGTGTTCTTTGATTTATGCACCCAGTCTCATTGCAGAAGGAAGCAGGGTGTCACCTTTACATGAGCCGATATCAAGGGATAGATGGCTGCAGTGCTTACAGGAACTCTGTAAATGTTGGGATCTAAATCTCTAACAAAAAAAATGTGACTGTCAAGTTAGGCAATATCTATTATTTTGCTGTAAAAGACAGTAACAGAAGTACTTCCCTGTACTGTTTCTGTCTTTCAGGAATACTGAAGTTATCACAGAATCAAAATAATTCTGGTTGGGAGTGACTTCTGGAGGTTATCTTGTCCAACCTCCAGCTCAGCAGGAGCACAAAGCTTAGTAGTCTTATTAACAGATGTACTGATGTGAGCCAGGAGTCCTGATTGTTTGGATAAATAGCAGGAGAAGCAGACTTTTCGCTCAGATCTATAGTCATTTTTTCTTGATAAGGAATGGATGAATTGTGTGCCCAGGTTTGTTCATTACATCAGATGACTGTTGCTTCCAGACACAGACTACTGCCCTACAAGTTGCTGCGAAAAATGTGACAAAATCTTCAGCCAACTTGCTGCTGGAAATGCATTAAAATTTCTGCAGCAGTAACTCTAAGGTTGTGATGCAAGTTGAACCAAGTTAATATTTAAAGCTGTTAAAGCTTTAAGCAGTAAGCTTAAACATGCCAATTCCCATTCTCAGTCTAGATTTGGCAGCCAAATTGCTCCCTTCTGAGTCACAGAAATGACCATGCCAATGAGCGCGAATGTTCAAGCACCTAGAGGAAGAGAATGAATCTTTGCCTTTCAGTGCCATTCAGCTGTTCGAACACCTGCACTGCTAATCGCCTGGTGACTCTCTGACACATATGCGCTAATGTGATAGCAGCAGGGTTGGCCGTTTCTATGGTTATCACTTTGCAGATTTATTGTACTATCTCAGAGTTCTTCCACCTTATAAAAAGCGTATTTTTGCAGGATCTTGCAGACTTTTAGACATAAGAAATAAAGTTGCATATTCTCCTACACTCTCCAACCCTTTCCAATTTATCTTTAAAATTCACGTAGGGAAAGGCTGCCATGATCTGACATATAACATGGTCTCAAATCCTTCCAGTTTCTACGTAAAGTGTCCAAATGTCGTGGCAAAAATAATAGCTCTGTAGATGTTATAACAGGGACACAGCAAGAGCTAGACCACGTGAAAGTCTCCAGATGAATGCTGTCTTTAACAGCAGCTTGGAAAGCTTCCCTCGGGAAAAAATGCAGAGAAGTTGATGCAATAGACTAAGCCAGGGCATGAATTCCTTTCGGATACAAGCTCTGAAATATGCAGCCTAAGGGCTTAATATAAATTACAGTGGGTGCCATTTGGAAACCCTGTGAGAACTACCCTATCTCAGCATGGTCGTAGCAGGAAACAACACAAAGTGGCAAGCTGTGTCCAGTTGGACCACATTGGTGTAAAAAAAAAAAAATATTCCTGACTTTAAGGTAAGAGGTACTGCTGCATGTGCTAAGTGATGAGAGTCTTTGATGGAGTCCCTCGAGCACCAGGACTGCAGAACTGGCTTGGTATTGATACAATTGGGGTCATTAAAAAAAAAAAAATTAAGATGATAGGAAAGAAAAAAAAAGTTTTATAGACAGCAGTGTTTCAGGATATTTTTCACCATGTCCTTCTTTTTAAATGGTAAAAGCTTTCTATCTTTTGTCATTCTCTTAGCAGAGCAGTGAGCCCAGGAAAATGGGCTCAGATAAGGGCTTTGCTAAAGAAGAGCTTTTAAATGTCAGGGAGGCCAACGTTTCTGCATGAGACAAAGCCAAAGCAGAGGCTGGCAAGATGAGGTTTTAAAACTCCCAAGTGCAGGGAATTTTGTTGTTTGAATTATTTTCATATGAAGTATTTTCTGCCGTTTGACTATAAAATCAAAGGAACAATATGCATACAAAGAATAAGTTAGTAAGTTATTTCTAATTAAAATATAGAAATAATTATACAGCTTTTAGAAAGTTTCATGAACACATAATGTCCATTGCCAATAGTAAATGAACTTATATGGGAATTTGGCATCAACTGACACTTTGAACATATTGTAGAATAGGTGCATAAATGCTACTCAGTGGTCCTAAAAGAGTTGAACGAGAAAGGGCAAGAGAGGGCCAGCTTGCAGTGCGCACCTGTATTCAATTTCTGTTACTTAGAGAACAGGAAATGTTTCTTGCAGGAATCTAGCCCCAAGTAAGCACATTTATTTCAAGAATTAAAGGATATGGATTTGGGTCTTGTTGAGCTTTAGGCTAACTCAGTGCTGTCAAGCCGTGGCCTTCCATCATAAAAATATATAGAGCAGCTTCTTGGATTTCTGCATGTTTATACTGCTTGTATCAAGATAAGTGTTTCTCTGGTGAGGCATTCCTGCAGTTTCTGTTGAATTAACCTGCCCAGCCCACCTTATTGAGGGCAGCCAGATTCCCAGAATAGGAATGTGCGGAGGTTGACTCAAATAAAGATCCTGTAACAGCAGCAACCGTTCTTTTAAGGTGTTGCTTGTGGTTATTGACAGTATGCTCCCGGCTCTTCCTCTTGCTGTGCTCTCTTCAGGGCTGTGAAGCTGAACATAACCAATAGAGCTGCGTGGGCATCACAAAGCATTGTAGGAATGTGATTCTTGGAGGCATGATGATATCACGGCTTGTTGTGTTGCAGTGATCATTCCCCTGTAAAAAATGCACAGGACAGATTTCAAAGAATTACTCTTCCTGGCACGTTGCTGCCCTGAGTCCTTTTGCCACCTCTTGACAGAAGTTTATTCCTTTGTTTTGCAGCATTGCAGTACGGAAGATCAATAGCCCAGGACTTACCAGCAAGCAGAGATCTGCCTGAGACTAAAATGGCAAGACTCTGGTTGTGTGTTTCCCTAAGCCTTTGCTCCTTTGTCACCCATTCCTATCTTGCACCTTTCAGGCTGACGGAAAAGCTACTTCTGCAAGCAGTGAGAGTGCAAACGTACATCTTGCGTATATACAGAGTGCACAGACTTGGTGGCTATGTCAGTGCTGCCTCCATGACCCACATCAAAGAGCAAGTGCTGGTGGCAGGGCTGGGTGGTAGGAACTCCCCCATGTCCATACTATCTATTCACATCA